AACTCAAGGCTTGCGGGGCAGATCTGTAAAAAATTGGTTTTTTACAGTTAATTTGGGAGTTTAGTTGTTGGCAGCAATTCAAAGGAGATAAGGTGGGTGCTTATCTCGGGGGACTGTTTGGGACTCATTACGGGCTGAGAATGAACATAATTCCCAGTGTTGAAATAAAATAAGAGTTGTTTGGACTAAGCGTATGCTTAATTACGGCCTTGGTCAGAACAGGATCTGGCCCACAATGTGGTCGGATCCAGCCCGTGGGGCCATCCTGGTAAGGGGCTGGCCCATGTTGCTTCGGTCCAGTTTACTTGTGTCGCTTTGGCCTGGTCTACCCAATGCAAAAAGGAAACATTGGGCCAGCGTGGCTTCGGCCCGGTCTACCCAATGCAAAGAGGAAACATGCCAGAAGTTTGGGGAGAAAGCTGGCCACGCCCACCCAGCTGGCCACGGCCGGTGAGTGGCATCAAGCTGGCCATGCCCACCCAGTCAGCCCCCCCCCCCGAGATCAACCCCAGCCCTGATGCGGCCCTCAATGAAATTGAGTTTGACACCCCTAGTCTAGTAGTTTTGTGGAACTTAATCTTCTGAAACGAAGCAGTTAATATTGTTCCAAAAACAAAAAACAAAAACATGCAGTGTGACCAATAAGGTCTTCCATTTGGAAGATTTCATTTTCAGAAGATTGCTGGATCATCTTTGGAACAGAGGGATGAATTTGTTTCAGATAAAACCTGCAGGAACATTCTGGAGTTCCTAGAAAACCCAGATTTGCAGTTTAGTTGGTTGCCTTTCACAAATTGACTGTTTTAGTGACTACAGTCATCAGGTGGGCTTGCTTCCACAACCCAAGTCCTGGAATGTATCCGCCTACCATATTTATTTTTTTATGGATGCCTCAGGAGGCTTTACGAAGGACCGAGATGGAAATAAACACCATGCGAAGATGCTTGCTTTCCTCTGCAACCTACCAAGCTTCACATGTACTATGATTTCTAATTAAAATAACCTTAAAAAAAATCAAGCTAGGTATAGCTGGCAACCTGCTGAATTCTGGATAGGTGTGCTAGTGGCATGTTTTATTCAAAGTACATTGGCTCAAGCTTTAGTTTTTAATTACAATTATCCAAAAATGCCCCCAAAAGGATGAATTGTGATGTCCTACTAAATCCATTGTTTCTACTTGCATCATAATGTCCCATACAAATATATAAAGGACAGAGTTTGTACTCTGGTATCACTATACATGTTTTTGTCATGTGTTCCTGTGCATACCTTTGGGCACCAGGTTTTTTATCCCCAAGAAACATGTTCTGGAAATGCCATCAATCTTACCGATTTCAGACAACTCCACCACAGAATGGCCCCCTTGCTGACAAGCAATCCGAGTTTACTCATATGGACCCATAGATAAATAATCACGAAATACAGGTAGTCGTTGACTTACAATTGAGCCCAAAGTTTATGTTGTTAAGCAAGACAGTTGTCAAGTGAGTTTTGCCCCATTTTATGACCTTTCTTGCTACAGTTATTAAGTGAATCATTGCAGTTGTTACATAAATCTGGCTTCCCCATGGACTTTCCTGGTCAGAAAGTGATCACACGACCCCCCCAGGGACATTGCAACTGTCATAAATACATGCCAGTTTGCCAAGCAGCTGAATTTTGATCACATGACCACAGAGATTCTGCAACGACCATAAGTGTGACAAAATAGCCATTTTTTTCAGCGTCGTTGCGACTTTGAATGGTCACTAAACAAATGATTGTAAATTGAGGATTAGCTATTTTAGGTTTTGCCTTGGTGCAAATAGCAGCTTAAGAGGGGCAAATTAAAACATTTGAAAATGACACAGGGTGAGGGAGATCTACCTCCTCCTTTTCTCTCCAATGACAGACTTGATAACATGGGAGATCCGGTTATGGCCCCACACTATCTCTTCTGATTGGCTCTTTAGTGCAACTCAACTCTGTTGGCCTTTGTGTGATGACCCGGGGCATGGCACAAAGGCAACACAGCCAGAATAATAAGTAGGGGGTCTGTTTATTAGCTCCAACTTTGCCCCCAATGTCCCGGTTACCTTCCGCTCTGGAGAAAAACTCTCCCAGGAACCTGAAACAACCTTTGACTACAGATATTCCAGTCCAAAACATTACAAACAGAAAACTTTAAACTATGAATTCAGCAAGACAAGATAAGGTAATAAATCCAGCAGGGCAAGATAAGGAGTTCCAGAAGTGAAGTAACACGGCAGTAAATCACACCAGTCGGGAGGATGCCAGGAACTCACATAACAGCAGCCAACATGAGATAAACTCAATGCTTGTTTCTGACAAGCACCCCTCCCAAACTGTGTCTCCTTTAAACACCATCCCCAGATGTGCCTTATGAAGGGAATCAGGGCCCTTTTCTCCCTTTGTAAGCCACACAACCTATGTTTCTCTCTTCTCTGTTCTTCCCTGTGTGCCCTAGGAGGAAGAGGGGGTGGGCCTTGGTCTTCCTCTGAACTCCCTCTCCCTTGTTCTACCTCTTCCCTGCTCTGCCCAGCCTGACTTTGCCCTTCCCCAGTTTCCTCCACACAAGGGAGCCACTCTCCTGCTCCCTGTCAGCTGTTTGTCTTCCTCCTCAGATTCAGACTCCGGAGGAGGCATGACACTTTTGTAAGGCTTTAAAAAAATGGTTGTGCTTCTTAGCCAGGGGCCCTGAATGTATTAAGGGCCCCCCTTTTTTGGCTTTACTGCTAGCTGCTTAGCTAACTTGGCTGCTTTGTATCACAGGTAGTCCTCGACGTACGACCACAACTTAGCCCAAAAGTTATGTTGCTAAGTGAGACATTTGTTTAGTGAATTTTGCCCCATTTTACGACCTTCCTTGCCACATTTGTTAATAAGTGAATTGTGGCAGTTGTTATGTAAGGAACACAATTGTTAATTGAATCTGTTTTCCCCACTTTGCTTGTCAGAAGGTCACAAAAGGGGATAACATGACCCAGGGACAGTGGGACTGTCATAAATATGAGTCAGTTGCCAAACATGTTCGCTGACCATGGGCATGCTACAATGGTCTTAAGTGTGAAAAAATGGTCGTAAGTCACTTTTTTCAGTGCCACTGTAATTCTGAACAGCCGCTAAATAAACTGTTGCAAGTTGAAGCACTTATTTTGAATATTTTTTATTGTTTTTATAGTTTTGGAATTGTCAGCCACCCACAGTCATTGATTGACATGGGTGACTATAGAAACGGAATGAATAAATAAACATGTTGCAGGATTTTACTTATGCAACTCTGCAACGGTTCTAAAATGTGTTTTGTGAACACGGTCCTGTTTCCTGACCAAATTTCTGATTTCCTTCAATGGTCTGAAGGAAAACTGAGAGAATCCAGACTAGAGAGGAATGTTATGTTCATCAACTTGCTATACGTGCTGTAGCATTGGAAGCAAGCTTACACTTTGCATGGCTGTCCTCATCATTGAGAAAAATTTTGGGGAGCTTGTGTGCCTTTGAGTCATTGTTAATTCCTGGAGTCTGCCTGGATTTGTCTTTGCAGTTTTCCTGCCAAGATTTGGGAAATGGTTTGTCACTGTCTCCTTCCTAGAACTGAGAGTGAATCACCCCACCGTCCCCTTGCTGGTTTCATGATTAAAGCAGGACTAGAACTCATGGTTTCCAGCCTGACGCCTTAACCCAGGGGTCTTCAAACTTGACCGCTTTAAGACTTGTGGACTTCAACTCCCAGAATTCCTCCTCCAGTCATGTTAGCTCAGGAATTCTGGGAGTTGAAGTCCACAAGTCTTAAACTTGCCCAGTTTGAAGACCCTTGCCTTAACCACTCCACCAAATTGGATGGAGGCCTAGAAACCAGGAGACTGTGAATTCTAGTACCATCTTTGCCGTGAAAGCCAACTGGGTGACTTTGGACCAATCCGCAGGAGACGGTGAGTTCTAGTCCCACTTTAGGCATGAAAGCCAGCTGGGGGACTTTAGGCCAATCCCTTTGATTTAGCCTAACCACCTCACTGGGTTGTTGTTTTTGTGGGGGACAAATCAATGCAAGATAACTATATTATTATTATTAACAATATCAATAATATTATTATTAAGAGAGGAACGGGTCTAAAGTACTGTTATCTCGCATTAAGTTGTCACACAGCAAGTTGTCCCATGGCGAGTTGACCCCAACAAATTGGCTGCGGTAAGTTGTCCTAGACCTCCTAGCGGCAATCCTTTCATGTCTCCTAAAGTCCAAATCATGTTCCCAGCAGCTACCACCAGCCTGGGAGGCAGTGGTGGGATTCAACGTGTTCACACCGCTTCGGCCCGAACCGATTGTTAAATTGCTGGCTGGCCCCACCCCTTCCAGGGGTCCTGACATGCCGTTTTGGCTCCCAGATAAGTGCAGGGAGGCCTACCTATCCCAAAACGGGGTGTGGGGTGTGTGTGTGGCACCCCGCCTCGTGGCCCATTTTTCCTTCCAGGAGGCTGCAGGGAGGCCTACTAGGCCCAAAATGGGGTGCAGGGATGCAACCAGCCTGTGGCCCGTTTTTGCTCCCAGTGGGGTGCAGGAGGCCAAGTGCTGCCTGTCACACCCCCTGGCCACATCCACCATGGCACGCCCACCCAGCCGCTCATTAGGGTAGAGAACCGGTTGTTAAATTATTTGAATCCCACCACTGCTGGGAGGTGTAATCCTATGACGCCCTCTAAGACAGAGGGCAACCTATTCACCTCCCTGCTTAAATTTGCGAAGTGTCATGCTAATCTGTGTGCTTCTTACTACTGCAAAACAGCACTACTGAATTTGGGGCTCCAAAGTTTTCACCACCCACCTCCAAAGAAAACTCCGGTCTTTCAACCATTCTTATTGTTCAGAACCCGAAAGGAAGAAGGCCAGACAACATGGCCGCCCAAATCAAGTAACGCATCGTGAGAGCTTCCCACATTTAATTTGTGCTGCTGTCCCCGACTCGATGGATGAGAAAGGAAAGTATAGGAGAAAATCTTACCATCTGATTCTGTGGGCCCAGGAACTGCAGTGCTGAACCAGGTTGGCTTTGTAGCATTTTCTGGAGCATGATCTTTTGCTGTAAAGCTAAGGGTATGTTGGGGGGCCTTTGGAGATGCTGAGGTTGGGCCGAATGTGGCTGCTGCTGCTGCTGCTGCTGCTGCTGCGAAGTCTGTGGTTGAACCACTGAGTTAGACAACTGTTGGGATGGTTGCTGTGCATAGTGAAGAAGAGAAGGTTTATTTGGAGCTCCCAAGCCAGAAGACATCTGCTTGTTGGCTTGTTCCGAGTTGAAATGAAACAAAGGCTTAATACTGTTCTGAGATTCCTCTAGTGACACCTGATTGTTGCCGACATAATTTCTGGGGATGTCTTGAGGCTTTCGGGGCATTACCATGTTGACGGAACTTCCCTGGGGCATGGAGTTTGGCCGGTAGGAGTAACTGTTCATGCCTTTGGATGGAGTCCCATTGACTGGTATGCCGGACATTGCAGAACTCTGTGGGCTGAACTGTTGTTGCTGGTGGAAGGATGGACTAGACATCTTCTCCTGCACAAAGGATCCAGAAGACGGTTCTGTAGATGACAAACCAGGCCAGGATGTGGCTGGTTGACTTTGCTGGCACTGCTGAATCAGAACATGCTGTTGCCTGTTGGCTGCTATTTGCTTTAATTGCTGGGCATGAGACACTTCTTGCCAATTGGCCAGCGGCCGAGTGGGGACCGACGTCCCTTGAGAAGGAGTGGTCTGAGTCTGAGGTATTGAAGGAATGGGAGATGAGGTGGACATAGCAGCACCGGGCATGGTGAAAGCCGAGTCTGTGGAAGGAGGCCTCATCTGAGGGGATCCCACCGAAGGTTGGCTCAACCCCGGTGAATACTCTTGCTTGATCACCATCTTGTCCATCTGCAGGGAAGACGATTGGGCAGGGGGACCTCTCTGGATCTGCTGACCAATATCGATGTTAAAGGGTTCGTCTTGCTTGATGGTGGCGTTGATCATGTTTTCTAACTCAAGATCACTCATGGGGGGCACAGAAATATTACTCAGTTCATTGAAGAGCTCCTGAAGTTCTGGGTCCATCAACTGTTCCCCTGTGTCTTCTCCATATCTGTTAGGATAAACACTGTTCTGAGATGTCTGGGTATCCATATGTTTACTACAAGAGATGGTCTCCCCGGGTTCCTTTTTGACCTCTTTTAGTGTCATGTTAAACATCCCATTTGCACCAGAATGACTGTTGCTGGTTGAGTTGTCCATTTTCCTTGGAGCACCTTGACCAACTGAGAATGATCCCAACGCTGACTGGTTTGGGCAACTGTTACCACACTGGCCACGTCCCATGGAAAGGTTATTATCACCACCTCGGATTCTCTTAATATCCAGGAAAGTGTTGTCAGCAATGCCATTCGATCTCTTGTTATTGCCTGGTGTCAGATTCACCACCAGTTTTCTCTTCAGGGAACCCTGGAGCTGAAAGAAGAAGAAGAAGAAAAAAGGATTCTTTCACTGGAATTTAAAAGATAATAATGTGATTTTCCAAAAATTAGTCATGTCTGCCCACTGACACCCAAAATGACTAAAAACAATGGCATCTGAAAGACTAACATAGTTATTACAACATACCCATTTCAGATACACAGATTATTATCCTAAAACAGAAATGTTATATAAATATTTACAATTGGAGGGAGGATAACTAAAACCTCTTTAATGCCTATAGATAAATAAAGGTAAAGACCATTAATAAAACATTTATTGGGTATGTAACAATGTGAAGCTTGTAATTTGATTCTAGTATTTTCCCAAAGGGGATATTGTAGCAATTTTTTTTTATCAGTAGAATACAATAATGAAACCTTGTTCTTACTGATACAGGGAAGTCCTTGACTTATGACCACAATTGGAGTTAAAATGTATGTTGCTAAGCAAGGCAGTGGCTAAGTGAATCATTCCTGATTTTACAACCTTTTCAACACAGTTGTTAAGTGAATTAATGCAGTTGTTAAGTGAATCACATGGTTGTTAAACAAATCTGATTTCCTCCTTTAGGTTTGTTTGCTGGAGGTTGGCTGGAAAGGCCACACATGGTGATCACATGACCCCAGGACACTACAACTGCCATAAATGCATGCCGATTGCCAAGCACCTGAATTTTGATCACATGACCATTGGGGATGCTATGATAATCATAAGTGCAATGATTGGTTGTAAGTCACTTTTTTCAGTGCCATTGTAGCTTCGAACGGTTGTAAGTTAGGACTACCTGTTCTGAAGATCTACCAGAATTTCCTCTGAAATCCACGTAATACTGCCGCATAAAGTGTGCAAGAACCCATATTTCAGTCAAATGGTTATGGTGAGAATGCAAATGAAGCTTCATTAGTTTTTATGCATATTGTTTAAACTTCAATCACAGTGTTATGTCACCTATCCTGCAGAAACACCTGGCTGTAAAGGACAGCTCTGAAACCAGCCCTGTAGGTTCAGAGTCTAATGTTTAGTTGTAACCAATGAAAGGTAGCAATAGTTACAAGATTATTAAGCCAACTCTTAAGTTACAAAATAGCAGAATAGAAAAACAGAATAACAGATGGGACCTTGGAGAGGTCTTCTAGTCCAACCCCCTACTCTTAAAAGTCTCCAGTGATGGAGCACCTACAATTTCTGGAGTCAAGTCGTTCCACTAATTAATTGTTCTAACTATCCAGAAATTTCTCCTTAGTTCCAGATTGCTTCTCTCCTTGATTAGTTCCCATCCAACTGCTCCTTTGTCTTGCCCTCAGGTGCTTTAGAGAATAGTTGATCCCTTCTTCTTTGTGGCAGCTCCTTAGATATTGGAACACTGGTGTGTCATGTCACCCCTAGTCCTTCTTTTCCTTAAACTAGACCCATTTCCTGCGACTGTTCTTTGTATCTTTTAGCCTCCATTCCCCAATCATCTTTGTTGCTCTTCTCTGCACTCTTTCTACAGCAGGGCTGTCAAACTCCCGTCTTGTGGGCCAGATGCATCCCACGCTGGCCACACCCATGCCCGGTTTCGCGAAGGGGGGAAAAAGTTCCGATACATCACCTGACGCTACCGTGACGATGCGAGTTTGACACCAGCGATGGTACGCTACCGGTTTGGACCGGTTCACCTGAACCGGAAGTTAAAAAACAAACCCCTCCCACCGATCAGCTGAGAGGAGGAGAAAAATCCTCCAATGATCAGCTGAGAGGAGAAAGAAGAGAAAAGCACAAGATTGGCTCTCCCACCTGCGCTTCTCTCTATCCTCTCAGCTGATTGGTGCTGCAGGTCTCAATTGGTGTGGGGAAAGCTGTGTGCCGGTGTTAGGCAAAGCACACCCACCAAACCCACGCTCAGCGAACTGGTGGTTAAAACAATTTGAATCCCACCACTGTTTGACACCCCTGTTCTAGAGCCTCAACATCTTTTTTTATATTGTGGCAACCAAAACTGGATGCAATGTTTGAATATAGTTTCTTCGGGCACATTCTTTCCTTCACTTAAACCTGGTAAATTACATCCTTCCTTTTCCTAATACTATTTACTCTCCTTTTGTGAAAGTAGGATGACTTTCTAAGGCAAGGATTCTTCCTGTCCAATGAGAACGCTTCCCAGCTACAGAAGTCTTACCATGACATATTGGCATTCTTCTCAGAGTTCATTGTTAATTTGTGATAAAAACCAAACAGTATCTTTTCCAAATGTCGGGACTGAGATTTGAAAAATAACAATAAGGACTGATATTGATCACAATTCATCCAACCATGGTTATAGATCGTCTGCTGTCACTGCTGTCTTTCAGACCTCCAGATTGTTTTTAAATCTCCCCAGGGTATGCAAAGTGATTGGATGGTGTGGCATGGAGAGACGGAGACAATGATAATGGAGATTAGAAGAACAGCAGCTCAAGATCCTACTTGGAGTTGATACAAAGACTTGGGAATTGTGAGGCCCACTAACCTGTTTTCTTCTCATAATTCTGGTTACATTATTAACACCCCTCTTTCAGTTCAGTCCTCTTCACCCACTGAAAAGCTCTCCATCAGAGTGAACGAGGAATACACAGCTTTGAGTCAGAGGTGGTATTAATACAGCAGGTTCTGACCAGTTCTGGAGAACCGGTAGTGGAAATTTTGAGCAGTTCGGAGAACCGGCAAGTACCACCTCTGACTGTAGATTTTACAGTATCCTTCCTCTGCCGTGCCCACCAAACCACGCCCACAGAACCGGTAGTAAAAAAATTTGAATCCCACCACTGCTTTGAGTTCCCCCTACCAAAAGTTAGGGTACTCTCCAGAGGTTGCTCTGAAATGGTCATTTTTCACGTGATTGCAGGAAAAAAAATGAGCGGCAATCTATTGCATTAATTTGATAAAATTAAATTAGTCAACGGCAGGATTTGGCCAACCGTGTCCTCTTCTTGAGTTCTACCCCACTCAAAAACAAAGGTGAAGTCTTTTGCTTGAGAAAGATTGTGACTACCTTAGGCATATGCCCCAACCACTGGCCCTCCCAAAATCTGAGTAATCCCTTAGCTCTGAATGCAATGTATTGGACAAAGCAATTTGCCCACTCCTCTCCTGTAAAAATTACGAAGTACATTCTCCCCACAACTTTGGCAGAAGGATAATTTTGTTTCAAATTAAACAAACAAAATTAAATGGCTTTAGCTTGGGAATTAACATTTGGCAGCTTCCCCAAGAAACTGGGCGGGTGAGAGGGGAGGACGACTTATCCATTTTAGCTCCAGAAAACTGGTCTTTTTGCCAACGAGATGATTAAGATATAATACATGATTTTATCACTTGCTTCCAAACCCTGTTCCTCCCCACCCTGTTGCTGGTTGGATAAAAGGAAAGAAAGAAAGTAAAAAAAAAAAGACTTTGCAAACATTGACTTAATTTTGATCAGTTAATGACCTTCACTGGAAGAATAATTGGAATGATGTTCCCTTGATACACTATAGTAAATTAAGGAGGAGGAAGGTACCTCTTTCCCCCTCACCCAAATTGAATTGCAGACACAAAAGATCACTTTCCATAATTTGTGCAAAGTGCTGCTTTCAAAAATCTCTCCCTGGTTTTGATTTCAGTGGCTGGCAAGGAGTGATGATGTCTGCTAGAGAAATACGCCGGTAGTTGGGTTTGAAAATATTATGTGCAGTTCAGAATATCTAAGAGGCACAATAGCGACATAGAACAGTTCAGCTATAAATAGGTCAAAGCTGTTAATCAGGACAAAGCATTCATGACTTTGGGTGAAACAAATAAGGAGTACTCCGTGTTGGTATTGTAGAAATGTTTTTCCTTCTTGCTCATTCATCCTGGAGAACTACCCCCTTCTTGGTCTCGGGAGCCTCTCAAACCAGGAATAAATTAACAACCCTTTGCTGCTAAATCGACAGAAATTAATGTCAACGTAGATTAACGGGGCATGCAAAGCCAGAGTGATGTAAACAAAATTAAAGAGGGAAGGAAGGAAGGAAGGAAGGAAGGAAGGAAGGAAGGAAGGAAGGAAGGAAGGAAGG